CAAATCACCAACCTTTTGGCTAGTAGTTGAGCCCTTAACCATCTGCACCACCCTAATATTTCTGAAGTACTGTGCTAAGAGCTTTACAACGCCCGATGAAATGAGTACTACTGCTGTCCTTATTTTACATATAGGTGAAGAAATTGAGCCATAGAGGGGTTAAGGGACTTGTCCAAGGTCACGAACCTAGCAAGTGATAACTCATATCCTCATACCTCAGTCTTTAAGACACAGGATCTGGGCTCTGCTCTATCTTCCCTCAGAACCAGAACTGTTAAATCTGCTCAAGAAATCAGTGCTTTCAGAGAGGGGCATGAGTAGATTATAAATACTGTGTAAATACACACTAGCTTTCCAGCATTGCTTTTGGATTGCTGAAGAATAGAAAGCTGCCAGAAAATACACACACAGCTCCCCTCTTTGTCAGTAAAAAGCAGGCCCCCAGAGAACTCAGCCAAAGGGAAGCAGAAGACCATAAGATTATCCCCAAAGGACAGCGAGTGATGGGTTAGCCAACAAAGACATAAAGAAGTACTGTGCTTAGCAAGGGATGTCTACAAAAGGGCAGTCTTTTCTCACAAATCTGAGTAGCAACAAAAGTGACAAGAAAAGAAAAAGGCGGGGGGAGAATAGGAGAGGGTGGGGAGAAGTGGAGGCTGGCATCAGTAGTCATGGCGGCGGCTGTATCGGTGGCTGTTTTTAGAGGTAATGACAGATACAATCAGCTGAAAACAGCAGAGAAGCAAGTCGCTGGAGACAGAAGACAGAACAGCTTTGCTGCCGTGGGGGACAACGAGCCACCTGTCTCTCATTTCCGCAGCCCTTGATGCCTGGGGCAGGGACTCTACCCTGGGCAAGGCGGAATGAGGGCAGGCAGCTGCCCCGCTCAGCAGTTCCCAAGGGCATCAGTGTGCTATCCCAGGGCAGGTCCAGCACAGATGGACCATCAGGGAAGGGGAAGAGGATACAGACACTGGACGCAGAGTCTCAGCGATGCATTAAAGCCATTCTCGTGCCATCTGCATCTCCAGCACAGCCCCACCACTGAGTTTCACAGCCCTGTCCTGCAGAGGCAGCCTCAAGGAGGCAGAGAGCTGGGGGCTTTCACACCCCTCTGCTATTCTCTGATATGGATAAGTCGTGCTTTCTCAGGTTTGACTCCCCCTTCCATTCAGATTGCTGCCCTTATATCTCTCCCATATAGAGAATCTGCAGTTGCTACTATAGTCGCCCTAAGACTTTATCACAAACAGTGCATCATATTCTATTACAATGTCTAAAAAGTGTAATGTTTTAAAAAAGACTTCCCTCAAGAAAAAGTTAAATTTTACTGCTGCCTACTTAAAGGGCTGATCCACCAGTTAGCAGGGAAAACCCCAGCAATCCAGCTCATTTCCCAAAGACAGTAGTGGTTTTATGCTACATAGCTCCATGTGATGCAAATGGTTTTTTTGTGGACTGCTATAACCACAGCGTTCTGGGTTTCCAAAGAGTGCTAAAATAAAGGGCTATAGTTACAATCTTCTAGTAATGTTAGGGCAGGGGATACAACCAGAAAACATCAGTCCTCACAGCCAACTGAATGGAGCAAGACTACTGTGCTAATCACTGTCTTCTTCCCTGACAGCTTTCCAGATTCCCGCAGGCAAGAAGGTAAGCAGCCCGTTAACACACAACTCTCGCAGTTGAGGCTACTCCAGCGCCAGCTCTTCCATGAGGTGCTCTGTGACCTTTTCAGCTGGAAGTAATTTTGCCCTCCCTGGAAGGTCTGTAGCACTGGCCACCTCTCCGATGGAGGCTCTCTCTCTACTTGGGTTGGTGTCATCTGTAGGTATGACTTCTCTCTCTTCTACTGTACATTCTGTAAGGGCAGGATTCATCCTGCATCACCTTCCTGTTCTTCCCTCTCCTGCTCCCTGACCCAGCACTCAGCTTCTAGCAGGTGTGCATTAGGTTGGAAAGGATGAGGGTTGGGACATGCCTTCTCTCTGCACTGTACCAGCTAGAGGCAATAGAGCACAGTGGTTCAGAGTATGGGCTCTGAGGCCAGCTTAACCAGTTGCTGTCAAGTCGATTTTGCCTCATGGTGACCTCATGTGTGTCAGAATAGAACTGTGCTCCATAGGGTTTTTAATGACTGATTTTTCAGAAGTGGATAACCAAGCCTTTCTTCTGAGAGGTGCCTCTGGGTGAACTCAAACCTCCAACCTTTCAGTTAGCAGCCAAATGTGTTGACTGTTTGCACCCAGGGACTCGGAGGCCATGTTAACAGGGCTCAAATTCTGACTCCTTGGATCAGTTCATAATACCATGGAGCTGTGTTTTCTTCATCTCTAAAATGCAGATAATAGTGGTATTGAGTTGTGAGGAATAAATGAGTTAATCCCTGGAACAAACATTTTATAGTGCTGCCTCAAGGAAAGTGTCCCCAAATGTTAGCTATTGCTATTATTAAAACCAGGGCTTGGCCAACAAGGATGGTCATTACATGCTGGCTAGGCAACTGCAGAATCAAATCTCATGATATTTCTAGCTTTTAATTTAGATAAAAAATGACGAGTCTACAAGAAATTTATATTCAGATCTAACCTATCTTGGAGGAGAATGTTTACGGAGTAGAACCATTTTCCAGGTTGTTTCAGGTAAATCAAGATTGATACCCACATGGTAAAACTTTCAGGAAATTTTTGTGCCCCCACCTTTACCGCCACATTTTAGGAATTATTGCATATGTTGCCATGAAACAAAGCCAGTGGCCCTTTAGGAAATTCAGAACTACATAACTTGATCCTAGACATTAGGGACAGGGGCCTGGAAACTGATAAGCTAGACAAAGCCATTTAAGCAGCACTCGCCATCACTGGGCACTTTGTGAATTCTAGGAGGTGGGAACAGTGTGGTGCCCCTCAGGGGCTTGAGATCATTCTAAGATGAGCCTGAGAGGGTCTCCCAGTTGGACCTGCTACCTGGAAACATTAATGACCACAATGGAAGAAGCATTGGAGTAACCAGCTTGACTTCCTGCCTAAACCAGTTGTCTGGGGCTCTCTGAACATTAGAGCCCCAGGCACTTTTCTTCCATGGTTCAAACTCCAACTTCAAGGTAAGTAATTTTCTTAACCCTCTCAAACCAAAACCAAACTCATTGCAGTCGAGTCTAATTCCGACTCATAGCGACCCTATAGGACAGAGTAGAACTTCCCCATAGAGTTTCCAAGGAGCGCCTGGTGGATTCAAACTGCTGACCTTTTGGTTAGCGCCGTAGCTCTTAACCACTACGCTACCAGGGTTTCCTCAACCCTCTCAGAGACCGCCTAAAATGCCCCCTGACGGAATCCGCTGCCTCTCTCCCTGATAACCCTGTGCTGTTGCTGTCTCATTAGGAACACCCAAAGAGGCAGGACACTGATACAGAGCCAGCTGGAGGTCAGGCCAGCAATCTTCATCCAGGGGTGCAGCCCCTGTGAGCCACTTTATGGCTTTGGCCCATTATCACAGCTTGGTCTCCTGCCTGCCTCAATTCCACAGGCCCCCTCAGAGTGGCAGCTGGGCAATCCATATAGGCTGGGGAGAAAGGTTACATTATATCCCAATCCCATTATGTGTTTTGAGAAGCCACATGTGAGTGATGTAGAAAGGAGCCTTCAGATGAGGAAGCTAGAGCTGGGGTTCTGTTTACCTTGGGAATGAACTGTTAAGCTTCCCTGGGGAACTGTTTTTCTTTATTACTCTGCTGGCTCCCTGTCCTCATGGTGGTCCCAGTCCTCGGAGTGGGGCAGACATTAAGGTTCAGCAACTCCACTGCTCAGGGCTCAGTATGGCCAGACTTGCTGCAACTCTTGCCCAGGCTTCATGCCCTTATTAGAAACTGGTTTCTTGCCTTATTTCTAGAAACCATGAACTGTGGAACTGGCCCTGCTCGAAGCTTCCTTGCCACTAAGTTTTAGTCCCAAATCTGAGAGACTGTCGTCTTGTCTTATTTCTTTCATTCTTGAAATCCTTCCTTGGTGCTCCTTCTGGAACCTCATTCTTTTAGAATTGGGGACTTATTTTGTTCTTCAGGGACTGGTGCCTATTTTGACCTGCTAGGTGTTATCTGCTGCTTACTAGGTCATTCACTGGCCACCAACTCCCCCAAGATTGTCTACTCACCATTGCTTACTATTGAAGCTCCCTGATGCTGACTGCTTGGACCTTGACAGAGAGCCTATGGTCAGACCTTACTTCTCCCTCTACCCGAATCTCAAGCCACCACTGCACACTAACCCATTACCGTCCACTGGTAGCCACCCTAATGCTTACTGACGGCATATGTGGACCCCTGTTAATTGACCACTGATGGAGCTCCTTCTGCTCTGCTCTTCCCATCTACCCCGCCTTGTCCTCATATCTTGTTGCCCTGCTCCAATGGGGCAATGGATGGAGTATCAGATGCCTCCAGGAGGACCAGTCCTTCTGCCAAGAGGGCCCCAGACTTTTAATCAGTCGATTCCATTGTGCCCAATTTCAAAGTTAACTTCACATGTAATTTGTTTTCTGTTAAGTACAGATTGATTTCGCAGTTCAAAAACATGCTTCTGCCTCTGTGGCCTTCCCTGACAACCCTATCTAAAATTCCAACCCCCACCCCCAATACCCCTTTCCTGCCTTCCTTCTTCCCTTAACAATTGTTACTATCATACTGAATATCTTATTTACTTATTTTGCTATTTATCTCTCCTGATAGAATATAAGCCTCATGAGGGCAAGGATTTTTTTATTATCCCCACATGCAGAGCCATCTCTGGCCCAGAGAAGTCATTCAATATTGGTTAGGTAAATGGAGGAGTATGTGGTGAATGAAGTGGTGTCTGCTCCTTTCTGGCCAGTCCACTGGCCACCGAAGGCTGTGGGCAGCCTGCCCCCTGCCCAGCAAAGGGAATTCCCCCAGCCTGTCCCTCACAGCCCCTGGGAGCCTGGCTCATGGACATTCATGGCTCTCCCCATGGTGCATCACTCGCCTTCAACTTGTGCTCATGCTCCTTGTTGACGCGGGCGAGCAGCTGAGCTTTCCGTCTGTTGAGGGCATCGATGAGGGCATCACACTGCGCCACCAGGCAGGCCTCAAATTCCACACTGTTCTCCTGCACGAGAGAGCACATCTCAGCTGCAAGGTGTCTGGGAATCTGGGTCTGCCAGCAAAAACAGAGCTCCTCCCTAGCTCATCCCCCTCCATTTGCAGGGTAGAAACCACTGCTGAGGGGAATGAAGAGGAACTCTGTCCACAACGCCCATTTAGTACTAGTTTTAAAAATAACTTGGAAAAATTCTATAGTGGCAGTGTTTTGCTTTACATTTAGATCGAAAAGGATACATATTTATTATTTAATATGTTTAATTTTATCTAAAGGAAATCACCTCCACAGTTCAGAGTATATCAAGGAAAAGAAAGCTTTAGTTAATAGAGTTGAACATGAATCCTTTTGAGGGCTGGCATATGTATGATAGAAGGCAGCATTTGCAAAGGTAACCAGGATGGAGAGGGGTATGGGTGAGGCATGAAAGAGAAAGGTGTCATTAAATTCAGGGGAAGAAAGACAGGAATGGCACTGATCTCCAATATTAAACAGTCATCCAATGACCACAGAAAGTTTGTAAGAATAATCAGGGACAAAAGTACTTGTTCATGTCATTGAGGAAAACAAGTAGTGAATATAGGTAGGCAGTTAAGAACAATTGGTGTATGTTACAGGCATTGCCCTACTGTAAAAATCAGAGAACCACCAGCCTGTGGGGGAAAGGTAGCCATGTACTAAATGAATTATAGCTTCCTTGTGATGTTTAAATTGAATCCCGCATCTAAAATTTTTACTGGGCTTAAATCTGTACATGCCATAGACATTTCTTTTAAGTAAGTATCTCACTGTATTATAGGCATTAAAGGTAGTCCTTTCAATAGTTGCATATGCAATTTTGATTCTTAAACTATAATCTAAAAAAATATAATCTGTAAACTGCAATTTACAGCAATGAAAGCTGAATACTTACCTAGACACTAATAGCATTTAAAAAATAGCACCCAACTGAGTAAAAGGTAAACTTTTAAGGGCTGGCAAGGAAGAGGGTAGGAACAGCTTAGCCTATTAAATGTTCATTTATTCTTAAAGTCCTGGAGAACTATGTCTCTTTATATGAAAATCCACTGTTGGGTATTTGGTAACTGCTCTCAAATGCAAGTTCCTCTTGGTATAAGGGGTGCATAAGTAATTGCTTGAGCAACAGCTTCTACAAGTGCTGTTTTAACTTTAACAGCAACTGCTTCAGAGTTCTCAGAGAAATCCCTTTGGGAAGCATCATTTAAGAGCTCTCCATGCAGGGTAAATCTGTGTGTGTGTGTGGTTGGGTGGGAGGTGGGGGTCTTCCTTGTAGAAGAGCAATACTAACTCTGTCACTGACTTAGAGCAGAAAGAAAGCTCTCCTCTGATGAAGAGGCAAGGGCAGAGGCGAGCGTTGGGCTGCACGTTTTATGCCAGAATGAGCAAAGAAGGAACTGACTGATAAACTCTATTGCTTTGGAAAGCAGAAGGAAGTACATTACTGTTAGATTGTTAGGGAACTGGTAGTTCCAGCATGGGCACACATGCCAAAAAGAGGCAAAGAAATCAGGGTGTAATGCTTCAAAAGGCTGGCTTACTTTTAAAGAGCCATTTCTTCCTTGACATGGTAACTCAAAAAGCCAGTTTACTGGAGGCCAGAGCTAAGGTTATTTCTGTGAGGCAAACCTTAAAACATAAGAATGATCAACAGTGCAGAGGGTCATTATTTTAGCAACTCATGCAGTTTATGACTTCTCCCCTTCAGCTATAATTGGAGAATTTATGACCTCTCAAATGCTGGTGGGCCTGCTGGTCGCTGTGTCCCAAGAAGCAATCTGAAATTATACGCACCAGGGGATCTGGGCTTAAAAATATTTAAGTATTTGGTAGAAGGAGAAGGGAGAAGCAATACTATGGGATGGGGGTGGGGAGAAGGGAAAGAAAGAAGGAAGAAAGAAAAAAAGGAAAGAAAACGTGGTATGTTTGTTAAGCTTAAATCAGACATAATTATTACAGGGTTTTAAAAACTCAACAACCATGACCCTGGATTCACCGAGATTTAGGCCTCTTTCTAAATACATAGCATAGAGTATTAGGACCTGTGTATGGGAAGATAAGAACCACTTGGAAAAAGAGGTTGTATTTCTGGTTTAATATAACCACCTCAAGAAGGGGTATATTTGAAGCTGGTCTGTGTGTGTGTTTGTATGTGTTAGAAGAGACAGAGCTGAAAAAAATATAAAGGAATTTCCCACAGCATAAAAATAAACAAAAGAAACAAACTCCCCACTATACAATCACATGTTAACCCACAGGTCAGCTTTCTGCCTCACTCGGATGATGCTGATACCTGGATCTGCTGGACCATGTTTCGCAGCTGTACCAGAAACTCCTTGGCTTCTTTGGCCCTGTCTGACAGTCCGTTCAGTGCTTGGGAGAGCTGGCTCTGCAGAGAGAAGGAAGGAAATCATGGCAGCTGTACGAAACAGCAACAAGGCCACCCAGGGTTGTTTTCAGCACCACAAGACCTGAGAAGCATCAACCTTCTCAGATTCCTCTTGTCTGAGCCTGAGTCATTTTAACTGACATTTGCACATGTGAATTCTGGTAACAATGGTGCCCAGACTCCTGCCGCAGGCTCTTGGGTAGTTTCTCCTCCGAAGCAGTGAAAACTTGTGGCCATTCCAGTTAAACCCCTCAGCAGCCCATTATTTCCTCATCTCATTAATTAACTACTTAATCAATAATTTATTTAATGCCTATTACTTGCCAAGGATTAAAACAACAAAAACAAACAAAAAACAGGAGTCAGATCATCTGATTATTATCAACATTACTTAGCCTAAAGAGCTATTGGTCTAGGGTGAAGGCAGAAAGAATAGACAGCCAAGAACAGGATGAGAAAAGCAAGAGTTAGAGTATCATGGTGTAAGGCTCTGGGGCTACTTAAATGCAATGACAAATACAGAGGGCAGGACAATATTCCAGCTCATCACCACCTCTTTCTTCTCCCAAGTACAGCCCCGTTGCCCTCAACTCCTGTGCAGACTAGCTTCCTAAACCAAGGCTTATTCTTTTTCTGATTTCCCACACCACTTATCTATAAGGGGATGCATTTTTTGGGGGGAGGGGACCATGGGTCCAGGGAAGCACTTGCTTTCCCAGCCTCCCTATCTGTTGGGGTGGGCCTGAGACACATTGCTGATCAATTAAACCTAAATGGAAGTCTTCTAGGGGAAGGTTATGGGAAAGCTTTTGCTTTTCTGTTGACAGGGGACCAGTGTGGAGGAAGCCTCTTTCCTCTTGTCCCTGCGTTTATTGCAGATGTGATGTCTAGACCTCCAGCCGCCATCGTATGACTAGCATGAAGGTCAATATGGTAAGGGTGGAGGGGTGGAAAGAGAAAGAGTCTGGGTCTCCATAGCATCTTTCAGCAGCTGAACCAACACTTGAAGTCTCCTATCAGTATACTTCTCGTTATGTGGAAAAAAATTAACTCCTTTTTAAATCCCTGTACTGGAGTTTTTTTTTACTTGTTTTTAATTTGATACAAAGTTCCTGCTCCTACCAGCCATGGCATATCCTTCCATCTCTCCTATAAATTAAGAGACACACTCCCTTTCCCACAATGCCTTCTTTGAAACCTAAGCCCAATCTCCTCCTTGCCAATGCCTCACCCACCTTTATCTTTTAGTAAAATGACAGAATCTTGACATTCTATCTTTTGATTCAGTGAATGTTTTTTTCTCTTACATTTGCCTTATTAAAAAGTCTTTAAAAATATGCATGCCAAAATGCTTGGTAGGAGCAATGTGATATGGTAGAAAGAACACAAGTTTTGGAAGCAAACTGAGCAGTGTTTGAATCCTGGCTCTGTTCCTTACTAAATGTGACCTTGAGAAAGTTCCCTCTGACTGAGTTACTCCAACTTAAAAAGTGGGAGCAGTAATAATACCTTCTTAGTTGGGTTGTTGTGAGGGTTTAATGCATTAATGAGTGTAAAAACTCCTGTTAGTAAAGGGTTGTTGTTAAGAAAATGATTCTGGATTCATGAAGACCAAGGTTCAGTTCCCAGTGCTGTTAGTTACTGGCTATTCAGTCTTGTACAGATAGTTTCACCTCATCCATACAACGAGAATAATACTACTACTCTTGGATGTTGTGAGCATTGCATGAGATACTATATCTAAAGTACTATGAGCCCTGCTGGCGAATGGTGAATACTCAATAAATGTTGACTGTCATTAGTTTTTATTCATCTTTTTCCTTCCTGATCACAAACCCTGCTGATAACCTACTGCTGGAGATTTTCAGGGCAGATTCCTAGAACAGGATATATGTTGGAGAATATCCTTGATTACTTACACTTTGCTGTAGTTACTCAGGCTTCTGGAGACTAAAGACATCTGAATAAGGAAAAGCACAGAGTAAGCCTACCGTTCCTGAAAGGGCTACTCAGTTACTTACTGCTGGGTCCCTGCTGCACCGTAATTGAGGTAAGAGTTTTCTCCTCAGGAACTACTTCCAGGAGCTCAGAGTATGAAGGGAGAGAAGAGGGTCTCACTTGGAACAGAGGCAACAAAATGAAAGAAATATTTTAAAGGAGAAAAAATTTCTCATTGTTACTTTAGAATTCATATCCCCTTTTTTTTCTGAATGAGTAACAGTTTTCTGGGCCACCAAAGTTTTCTTCCTCTTTTTATTATAATCTATGCCTTAGTAACCACTCTTGGAGGTTTGAGTACAGAAGCCAAATTCATTCGGCTTCATGTAACTGAAGCTATCTGATTTCTTCTATTCCAGGCTTGCAATTATGTCTGTGTAATGGAAGTCAGGACTGACACTCAAAAATTGTTGACCAGGTGCTGCTATATTAGAAAATATTATTCAGTATAGACAAAGGGTGCTGGCCTCACCCACTTCCAAGATTTTATACGGCAAAATAATTAGTGACTGCAGAAATCAATTTATTTGCAAATTTCCTCTCTTTGTGTGTATGTTCATTTCCAAGAATGCCTTTTCTTGGCTAATGACTGTTCTGGTATTTGGAAAATACCTGCATTATAAGATGAAGATCTAGAAACCTTTTTCTTAAGCTTTGTCTACTTGTGGAAATTGAGCAGGAGACGAAAAAATTCTTGAAAACGTATTATTAGAAAATTCTCGAAAACTTATTATTAGAAAATTCTCTCATTGTAAGGATTTATATGTGCATTGCTTTTATAAGATAGCCTTTTGATCACATTTTAAGCTACATCTGATGTAGAATAAAATTGTTATTGATTGACTTTGTTTCCCAGAAGCATTTAAACTCCTGTGCTAACAGAGATGTTCTGTATTCAGGACCACAGGGCATCCCTGGACATTTATGACCAGAACACTGAAGCTGCAAATATTTAGGGCCTGTTTTCATTTCTGCACCTTTGGCTGTACATGTTGTTATTAGAGGGAGAAAGGCAAGGTTCTAAATGCTGGTTAAAATGCCTAAGCAATGACATTTGGATTTCTTGGATATTTATTTTTAATTTACTGAAAAGGCGTCATGACCAGAAGCTGAGTGAAAGTGGGGAGATGATGTAGCCACAGAAGCACTGGCACATTTCCAGTCAAATTGTTCTCTGCTGAGCATGCTCTGAATAACCAAGGGCTCCCAGCAAGCTGGCAGGTTGTTCAGGGCTTGAAGGAGAGAAACAAAGAACGCTGCCTCCTCCTTCCTTTCCTCATCAACCTCCACCTGGACCCCACTCCTCTAGCCTCCCAAAGGACTGCATGTCACCAGAGATCAGGTGCTCAACCTGGAAAGTTACCGTGGAGAAGTTGCCAGAATGTTTTTTTTTTTTTGGTGGGGGAGAGGGGGTGTTAGCAAACTTGTAAGGAGTTCAGTCCATCTCGACAAACTCCTAACTTCCCCCATTCATCCATCCAAGCTGCTGAGTGTGCCCAGAGAGAAGACAACAGCTGGCTTCCTTTCCCCATCATAAACATTACTCACGCGTGTCATTTTTCCCTTGATTTTCTGGAATATTTAATGGAGACAAATTGAGACAAATAAAAGGAAGCTTCCTGGTTGTCTGGGATCTGAAGATAGAGGCATGAGATGAGTCAAAAAGGGTCCATCAAAGAGTTGGTACAAAACAGACGAGGTGACAAACAAGCAGGGGCAGCTTGATCACCTGGAAAATGACCTAGCTGCCTCCCTGTGTGGGGCATCGCCTCACGCTCCATCATTAATCCATGCTGGTCAGGCGTTGCTGGGCAGGCAGCACGAGGCAAGTAAAAGCCCACTCCACCTTCTTCCCAGGTACCAAGTCAAACACAAACATAGAAGGAAAGTGACAATTGATGCACTGTAGCTCTGAAGGGACACCCCCAGGAAAACAACAAGTTTTCTTGAACTAATATGATTTTTGAGTCTCACTATATCACTGACACTGTAGTGTAAAAAGGTAAAAGCAAGAAATTCTAATAGTTACAATATACTGGTCATTTCTTATCAATCAGGACTCTGATGCGTGCTTCAAGTGTGTGTCCTCTTTAATCCCAATAATCACTCTGCCATTTTGCAGAGGCTCAGATAGGCTCTGTAGCTGAGTTAAAGTTTTACAGCTCCCAAATGGAAGAGTTGGAACACCAACCCTAGTCTGATTCTGCAGTCATGCTCTTTTCTTCATCCTCTCAAAAAAGAGTTGCCTTCCTTTACCCACTCAGGAAGGAAACGAAAACAACCCACGGTGAGAGCGTGTAAAACCAAAGAAGGTGGGATGATGAGGGGATGAGGAGACTAGTTAAAACACTTTGATTATGCTTAACAGCAAGATAATATGCAAACCACTGCATGACTAGTTAACCTCTGAAATTGTCAACACTTTTTTATGGAAAAAACTTTTGTGATGAATTTGACAAGGAACTCTGTTGAAGAGAGGCGACCCACTGCAGAGGAGAAGAAGCTTTGCATTGTGTCCAATGCCGGCATTAACACCTGTTGGCTTGAGATCTCAGGCAGGCTGAGTGGGGAACGAGGTAAAGGAATAAAATCTTGTTGAATATCAACTATTTGGGGGACCTTCAAGCTGAGCTGCCCATGGGGCCTGATTAGCCTTCCAGTTAAGATTTCTATTGTTCCTGCCTGCACTGTTTCTTCCCCCATGAAGGGTATCTCCTCTGGTTTCTTTGATGGTAGAAGACCCTGGATCTACCCACAGGCTCAGCTCACTGTAGTTGGATGGGTAGGAAGCCTCAGACGATGGTCTGCTGGAGATGCTAACCCTATGTCTAAGCTCAGCAGTGAACAGTCAGGCTGTTATTGGCAAACAGAGTAGCTGGGCCTGGGAGCAGAAACACATGTCTAGGAGCAGAGGTGTGTGTATGTGTGTGTGAGTATGTGAGTGTAAGAGTATGTGTGAGTGTGTGAGTGTCTGTGTGTGTATGTGAATGTGTATGTGTGAG